TCTGGGTGATTCCTATGGGTTTCATTTGTGTGACACAGTTTCTCTTGTCATGCAAAGCGGGAGAAGGTTGCTGTAAAATAAGATTTGACGCTCTCAATCACTGTCTTTTTCTTCTGAGTAGGAATTCTACAATGTGTTATGGCAAAAAAAAATAAATAGAAAAAGAAAAAACGTGTTATGAGGAAAAAGCACAAAGGCAAACTGTGGGCAGAAAATAGTGCATTCCTGATTTTCCGTCTCTCTTAATTTTTAATTTTTTTATTTTGAAGCTTTTTTTTCATCGAGTTTATTTTTGATGTACTAAAAGCTTTAAAAAATATCTGTAGATTTTATTGTACAGTGTGTATGACTTTTAGAGCATGTGAAGCTGTTTTCTTACTATGCTAAAACACAAAGAATACTCAAGCACACGGACTTCACAAAAATCCCCCGGTTGAAAAAAAAATTAAATAAAAAAAAAATAATAATTAAGTGAAGCAAGAAGTATTTATAGAACTTTTTTTCCCCCTTCCTCTACCTGAACAACAGAAGGACGGATACAAGTGAAGAGGAGGAATGTGATTGTCCTTAAAGCACATACCCGTTCAAACCTGCAGCACAAATACAAATCCTAGAAACGGAGGCACAACATGAGAGAGATTTGAAACCCCTCGGCACATTAGCTGCACATTGCTGGACATATGGGATCTTTTCTGACTATCTTGGCTTTTGGAAAGTCTCGTCGCACTGGGAGACAATTTTGAATGTTTGCTCAAGGGTGTTGCCCCAGCTGACAGCAATGTTGCACAGAATACCCCTGACGCTGGAACAGCTGCGAGTTATTCTGTCACCACCGGTGCTAGGAAGGATCTCCCATTGCTGCGTGCGTGTGTGTGTGTGTGTGTGTGTGGGTGTGCAGCACCTCGGCCGTGTGCATACAGCTATACGTCACGTCTGGGTGGACTGCTGCCACCTCTCTTCAAACATCAAAGCACGGACATGTGTTACAAATACTTGCTTGGTGTTCTTATGGTTTGATAATGTCAGAGGATACAGCAAATGTAAAGGTTGGAAATGTGTGAGGTCACTCAAAGAGGATGAGCAGTGTGTGAACGTATGCAAATGTGTGTGTGTGTGTGTGTGTGCGTGTGTGTGTGTGTGTGTGTGTCTCTGTGCTAGACAGAGGGTGTGTGTGTGGGTGTGAGTGTGTGTGTAAATGTGTGCGGCTACAGCATCTCTGTGTGTGTCCACATATATGCACATGCTTCGGTTTGTACATGCCCGTGTGCATGAGCCAGACGACAGAGCGGAAGGCTGAGTGCGTCTCTCTGTGGAATTCTGGAGTAATGTGATGCTTATGTAAAACTTGCCTCCCCATGCTATTTGTGTTGATACCAGAGAGATTTACATAATTATAATGAACTATTACTTATTGTGATTGTGAACCCATAAGAGTGGACACCACCCTCTGGTACTGTGTTGAACTGCGCTCGTGCCCCCGAAACCCCCCGAGAAACCCACTCCCCAAAATCCCCAGTCACCTCGACACAACGTTGTGCTCACTGTATATGTTGATGCTCCCTTGTTATTTCAATGTAAAGTATTATTTGCCATGGCCGCCCCCGTCTGTGTTTTCGTTGAGTGGATGCCTTTGCAGTCACTCTCTTTTGCTAAGTCTCCAACAGAAGAGATGATAAAAGAGGGAAATCAGAGGCTCTAATCATTCCCGGTTATCCCGCTCATTACAGTGCATCAGCACCCGGATCGATCCCCCAGGTCCCCAAACCTTCTACTTATCTTACTCTGTACCTCCTTAATTGCCTTAGCCTCTGCTGCCAATTCCCTCACTCCATAGCTCCTAAATTCCCCCCTCTTCTCTTCCCAGCTCCCGACTCTTTATTGCTCTGCTTGTTTTGTTTTTTTGCACCACTCTCCTCTCCCCGGCCCTCAGTCCTCCCTTTCCCTTCAGTCCCAGCGCAGAACTAACTCTGTTTTTTTTGTTTCTTTTCTTCTTGGTGAAGTACTATAGATTGTTTTGCTGAATCTTGATACTGTGTTTTAATGTTCTTATCAACATTTAATAAACATTCACATTTTATAAATGGGGAACACCCTGAAGTGTGTGGGGTTTTCTCAGTGCGTCCGTGCACGCTTACAGCAGTGTGGTTGGTTTTTTTTGTGACTTTGATTTGATCAAGCTGAATACAAACAAGGCCACGGACATTTGATAGCCTTTCACCTTTCAAAGGAAAAGTCTGTTAATGTTTTGGAACGTGACAATAGAACATATAGCTCGGTGAGAGAGGCAGCCTTAACAGACCCACAGTGTGAAAACGCTTTAGGTCATAGGGGCCACGCAACGAGTTAAGGCTTTACTTGAAAAGGTTTTTAAGATAACATCTCAAAGTGTTCTGCTGCCAACCCATTGTAATAGAGGTAAAATGATTTTGTTTGTGGAGCTTTAGAAAATGGCATTTTGACAGACATGAGCTCAGCCGCACCGTGAGTTTTCCATATGCAATGTCCCAGTTACTCCACAGAACTACAAACAACTTTTTAAAACTTATTTACGCCAATAAATAATCCCAATAATTATTACAAAATAATGGCCCATATTGCATTATCAACCCTAGAGGAGCTGCTATCACCAAGCACAAGGTTACACTGTGCCATTGCATACCTAGAAATTGGCATTGAGATAGCAGAAATTATTTAGCCTTTAATAAACTTTCTCTTGAATCATGTATTATCTTAATTTCCACAGACAAGGTGCCTTGGCCGTGCTGATGTCTTGCTTGGTCCTGCTTTTTTTTAGGGCAATCCAGGGTAAGTTTCAAGTGATGTTTATATTTGTGTTAAAAGTAGGCCATGCATATTCAATGTGGGTAAAAGCAAATCTAAGGGGAAACATTGTAAAATTGGATGATTGGCAGCTGCACTTTTTGTCATTTGATTATTGATGTGTGGATGAATTAGTGTGCTGCGCCACAAGGGGGCCGTTAACATGTAGGTGATGGGTCTCTGCTCTCAATCAAGTAACAAGTAGACACAGGTGCGGCGTCTCTGTGTGTTTGGACCGCTGGAGACGTAATGGTGCTTACCGCAAAGACAAACTCAATTACACGACAGAAAACAATAAGCTAGATTCTAAGTATTGCATGAGTACTGACACAGCAGAAGAAACTACAGTCTGCCATCTACAGCTACAGCATCACGGAAGAAGCAAGCCACCAAAGATTAACCAAAGGTGTGAGCGTCACGAACCTGCGTGCTCATGGGCCAATAAGTCACAACACTCATATTTGTTGAAATTCTCTTTACATCCCGACAGCTATCAACAAAAAAAAAAGAAAAAAGGTATCTGTGGCTGTTGCAGGACTGTAATACACCCCTCCAATTATTTCATCTGGGCTGAATAAAAAGTTTGGAAGGGCTGCCTACTTATCTACCAACCTGGGAGAATATAATTAGCTCTCATGTCTCAGGAACATAAACAACATAACATTTAACTACAATGTAGACAGGCTACGGATGTTCATCCATTAGTTTGTTCTGCAGAAATGCTGGATCTGTGCTGCATGAAATGCTGGAATTCCACAGCTATTTAGTCTTCAAGTCTTGCTTGACTGATTTTATTGCTTTCCGTTTACGGTTTCTATTGCTTTTATAGTTTTATGTGTAGTTACATTCTCGTTAGTTTTCATACATGTTACTCCAACATCACCAACAACGTGGATGAGCAGTTTCATCCTATTTCATATAAAATACACCAGCTATAAGGTGCATGATGATAATTAGCTTAATGAGTGACTATCCAGGATCACAGGCGTCCCTCTCCAGGGTAACTCAAATGTCTCCTAATGCTGAACATCCTTCCTAAGATGCCCTGGTGTTTTGAAACCCTAGCAGCAAACACAATGCAACTTGTGACTGATCAAATTTTGAAGTGCCAAAAGCCAAGCCGGTATGGTGCACTTACTAATTGCCTGGAAGTAGTAAGACTCATGATTGGGAGGGTGCAAGTTGCAGGAGTAACACCGAGGAGGGTATGCCAGGCGTGTGATCGCGCTAGTCAATTCATAGTTCAAAAGAGAGCAAATGATGTCAGTGACTGAGTTTCTTTCTCTGTAGAGCCACTAGATGCACACGGCATTAAAAGTCTGGTCTTGACACTCCATGTGTGCTGGCTGTGCACACACGGAGTGTGCAGAATTGGCAGCAAATGTGTTTGCTTATTTGTGGAACGGTGTCAAGTTGTTTTAAATAACATTCCAACTGCTCACACAGAGATCCGTCGAGGAAGGATGATGGAGCATCAGTGTAATATTTTGTGCAATATATTACCAAGTTACTAAGTTATAAAGTCTTAGTAAGTGACTCATTTTAACAAGGTTACATGAGCCTACGTTGGAGATAGACACAATGACAACAGGAAGTCACTGCATGAGGAGAGAAATCCAGTTCCAGCACATAACACTCAAGCACTGTGGACGTGGCAACACACACTCTAATACTATTAGTAGTATTAGTAGTATTAGAGACCCAGGTATAAATTGATCTTCACTCATTCATTATAATTTCCTGATAACTCCTTGAGATGCTAAGCTAATCAACTGTTTGCTCAAGTTCCATGCACAGGTATACAATCTGGTTCTCCTCATGTAACTCTTAGCAAGTATGTGAATAACAGTATTTCCCCAAAAGTCAGACTTAAATCGTGCATTTAATTTGCAAAAAATCACTGCATGGGGGTAAACTAAAACATAAAGGCAGCCCCAACCAAGAGAATACAAAGAGAAGGTAGGCTTGTGTCTAGGTTGTGTTCTGTGTTGTTAGGTATGAAGACTTGTTGGTCGCTCACAAAGAATCATCTGCTCCACTTTATTTGTTCTGAGTTTGGGGGTATTAGCA